TTATTGAGTGTGATTATATAGCACAAATTGAAGCATTTCTTATATATATATATATATATATATATATATATACACACACACAGACAATAATATTACTCAATTCAGTCATTTTTATTAATATTATTAGGTTAGGTGATATTATTAGTTTATTATCCTTTATATTACAAATGGAAGTATTTCTTATTTAAAAAAATGTTAATACAATTTTCTATATTTTGTGTGTATGTATTTACTGAGTGTGTGTATATATGCGTGTATAAATGTATACATACAATATATATACATATACATACACATTTTGCATTATTATAATGAGAATTTGGAGGGCAAATGTGTTTTATTATAAAAATAAAGTCAGAATTTTACAAAATCTTAATAGTGTTTAATAGATGTAATTTTTTAAAGCAAAATATATTTTAGTTTCTTTTTTTTATTCTAGGGTGACGTATGCACCGTTCTTCATGTGCGTCACAGGTTTTGTCAGATTCACTCAACATGTTTTTGCAGACTCTGTATACTGCTGTCACATAAGTTGATTTTTTTTTTTAGCCTCTCTTGGCTGTGCTTCATATTTTCATATATTTTCATAACATGTTATTTAAGTACAACATGTTGACAGGAACTAGACATTCTCATCCACACTACATCTACATTCATTAAGTTTGTATTCACAAATTAATAACACTAGAATAGATTCACATGAAATCAGCTCGTGGCACAACCTAGAAACCTGGGAGCATTGCCTAATCTGTTAAGGACTCCAACTCCAAACCTGTAGCAGTGACATAATGTGTTCTTGGTATGGTCTCTCTCTTTCTTTGGACTTTGGCTTGGCAGAGAGAGAAACCTTTGCCTTAACCGCTTGCAGAACTGATTGTGGAGAATAGCAGAAACTCATGTTGTCCAATGCTTTAAGTGCACGCTAGCTTCACTTGAATTACACAGCACTAGAATGTTGTGAGGAGGATGGCAAGATAAAATACTTATTAAAACATTTTTTTTTTAAATACACACACACAAACCGACCAGCCGATGACCCTAAGTGTACAATAAGGGTCGAGATTAAAGTAGTAATATGAATTGAATGCTGACTGTTTATATTGATAGATGGAGCACACACTCGTCTCTTATTTGAGCTATTTTATGCAGTTAGCCTTAATGCAGAAAAGAGGAGTTTTGTAGTATGTAGTAGAAATATTCTACCAACACTGAGCTGATTTAGTATGAAATGCCTTATTGTTGCATTTTATTTATTTTGCAAATCAGTGTTTGGACCAAATATATTTTTCAGAGATTTCCAAAAACATGGTTTCTGTTATTTATTCATTTTAGGTTTGTACAATTGCAATTGGAACAATTACAGTATGTCCATAATAGTTGTACTTGAAATGGTATTTTTAGAGCTGTTTTAACACCTTAAGATGTTACATTAAGACAAGTTGTTACATTGTGTTCACATAATGCATGTAACGACTGTAATTACCAATAATGTGCATTCCTAAGTACAATAAAAAAAAATTCTTATATATTGGGTGAAACAAGTTGAGTCAACATTTACATATGCATGAAATTTGTATACAGTTTCAGTCAACATTTGGACTTCTACTATTTGTCCATTTGTTCATTGGACTGCCAAGAATTGAAGGGTTAGTTCACCCAAAAAGGAAAATTAGCTTGTGTTTTACTTACCCTCGAAGCATCCTAGGTGTATATGACTTTCTTCTTTCAGACGAATCCAGTCGGAGTTATATTAAAAATAGTCCTGGGTATTCCAAGCTCTATCATTGCAGTCAGCGGGTGTTGCAGTTGAACAGTCCACAAGTCGTCAAATAAAGCTCGCGCATTCATAATAAAACGTGCCTCACATGGCTCCGGGGGATAAATAAAGCCCCCCTGTAGCGAATCCATGAGTTTTTGTAAGAAAAATATCCATATTTCAAACGTAATAAACACTTTTCTCTCACTTCCGTTATCTGTCATATGCGGATCCGTTCCGGCGGAAGGCGTATGATGTATGCGCAGCGCGCGCGCCTTTGAGATATGCTAGTCTCGCGAGTTTGTTTAATAGGTGCAAAGGAAGCAAAGTTTCCTTACTTTAGCAAAGGAAAACCAGTCTCCTCTTGGTTTATATCGAAATCCTCTGACATTTTTCTTTGCAAATCTTCGGTTTGTACTTCTAATTCGTGACCGCCGTTTTGTTTTGTTCTCTCTCCGCATTCGTCACTAATCACGCAACGCCGCACGTCTTGCGTCATCTGCCGGAACGGCTTCCGCGTATGACAGTCAGCGGAAGTGAGAGAAAAGTGTTTATTATGTTTGAAATATGGATATTTTTCTTACAAAAACTCATGGATTCGCTACAGGGGGCCTTTATTCATCCCCCGGAGCCGTGTGAGGCACGTTTATTATGAATGCGCGAGCTTTATTTGACGACTTGTGGACTGTTCAACTGCAACACCCGCTGACTGCAATGATAGAGCTTGGAATAGCCAGGACTATTTTTAATATAACTCCGACTGGATTCGTCTGAAAGAAGAAAGTCATATACACCTAGGATGCTTCGAGGGTGAGTAAAACACAAGCTAATTTTCATTTTTGGGTGAACTAACCCTTTAAGAAAAATCGATTGCAAATGCAATTTTGAAACAGTTTCATTAAAACTGGAGGCCATTCACTGAATTAAATTTAAAATGTAATTTCTATATAGCTCATGATAAGCTTCTATTTTTACTGTAGCTGATAAACTTTGAAAGAATTGAGGTTTCTGTAATTTAGCCGGGGCCTCCGAGAGGTCAAGGACAGGATCCACCTAACAATGGGGAGCGTGCAGGGGAAAAAAGCTAATCATCCAGCAAACTGCTGACGAATTCTTGTGGTTGTAGGAGTAGCTGGAACACGGAGTTCAGCGCGTCACATTCTCCTCAAGGCTTTTCATACTGTGCTGGGTTAAGGTCATATTTTACCCTCAGTTAAGTAGGTTAGCACATTCCAGAGCAGTATTAGAGTAAAAGCCAATCATAAATTAAATATACATAGAAAACTGAGGGTCAATATTCATACATTTAAAAGTGAAAAGTACAAAATAGGCCTCATTTTGAACCAATAGTCTCTGATTTATTTCAATAACTTTTTTTGATTTTGATTTAGCAGATACTACTAATATTTTTGTAGTGTATGTGCACTTTCTGGCATTGCATTTGAGCAAAATTATCCCATAAAGCAATGTGCTTGGCCTGACCTTCCATTTCCAAATAATGAACTATAATATCAGCCATGATTTTTACCACTTTTTTGTTTACTCTTATTTCATTGGACTGCCAAGAATAAAGAAAAATCGATTACAAATGCAATTTTGAAACAGTTTAATTAAAACTGGAGGCCATTCACTGAATTAAATGCACCCTAGCAAGGTCACCTGTATGACGTTACTGTAACATACAAATGTTTGAATTATCAGTCAATGCTTGTTTAAGAAATGTTTTTCAGTATGCAGTGTAGTGCATATTTTTCAGTAAGCTAGTATTTAATTCTGAACAGCCATATACACAGGAATATATTTTTACATTTGTAAACACGTATGTAATTGCCCATTGAAGTGATTTGTTTATTGTATAATTCACACAGTAATTTGTTCTACTCATATTTCATGAATTATGCCCTTTGTTGCTGACAGACTTGCTATAAATGTCATTTTTAACCCGAGTCGTGCGGTACTGCTAAGAGAGTGTTCAAAAATGTCTAAACACTGAAGCCAACCCAAGCAAGCAATCAACCCAACCACAACATTTCAAACATTTGTTCTTTGAAGCCAAAAGCTGCTACGTAGAAATGGATGTCTTTAAATCAGATTAGATTAGGAATCAGTTTGTAGTGTTCTCGAGTGTGCACTTCTGGAGCAGTTGCTGAAATTGTCAGAGGGGGATGACGGGGGTGTTGTGAGGGGGGTTTGATGTACAGCTGGCTTCCTACCTCTCTTGCTCTGCCTGCCACTCACTGCCCTTCGACCACGAAAGCATTTCCTGCTATTGTCCTGCTGGGGGCTGTGTTTTTTCAGCATATCGGGCACAAACCAGCTAAAAAAATTTTTTTTCCTTTTAGACTTTCAGAGCTGTGAAAAGATTCTCTGGAAGAAAAAAAAACTGTGAAAAAAAACATACAGAGCTCAGGGCCAAAAAGATACAGGTTTATCTTTCTCTTTTCGTGTTCAGATCAAAGCAGTCAATCCACATATATCTAAATAATTCGCAGTTGAGCTGTGGTGCAGCAAGCTAAATAATAATCATAAATAAAAGGCACCTATTGTTAATAAAACAAACTCGAACAACCAGTTTCTGGTTTCCTAAAATAACCACGCAACTTATTTATAATACATTTTTGTGATGTTTATTTACAGTTGTTGTTTTTTTTTCAATTCAAAACCCATTTGCTTTAGAGGCAGAATTAAAATTCCATATTGTAGTATTGATAATATTGCTTCTTAATTATAAATTGTTTGTTTTTGCCTAATTTGCATGTAGATCAAATGAATATGCTAATGTAAATCCTAATGTATCCAATATCCACTTTATTTAAAAATGCTACTTAAGTGCTAAATTTAGATGCACTGCAGTTGTTTAAAACAGTGAATATCACTCCAAACACATTAGCAGACCTCACACAACCTTTCCTAAAGTTGATTTTTTGTTTATAACACAACATTGGCTGAATTCATAATGCTGTTAGCAACCAATGTGCCTGCTCATTAGTACAGATTTGCTGTGCTTTGGGTAACGTGTAACATATGCACCCTGGAGCTTGTTCTAATCCTTATTTTGTTGTTGCACCACACCCTTGTGCAACTACTTTAATTTCCTCTTGGCTCCATGCGTTGTTTAGACCAGTGCTCCGAGAAAAACAAACATTCTCTCTGGTTATATGGATGATATTATCTGCAGTCAAAAGATTCTTGGAGTATTTCCTGTCGGATTCAACCCCCTCCTGTCCTGTGAGGATGTCCTGTCAGTGTGACGGAGCAGCAACCAGGCACGTGAGAGGGAGAGGGTAGAGCTTATTTTGCCCTACAGCCCAATGTATGGCTAGATCCCACACTACGTTCCAGTCGAGCAAAGCCTCCAGTGATATTTCTCCAGGACTGCTTCTACCAAGGGCTCAACCCTGAGAGCCTCATCTGCGGTAACCACATAGCAAGGTATGTCTCCTAACCCTTTGTCATATGGAAAACAAGAAGACTTTGATTAGCACTGATACCTGGTGTAGTTGCTGGGGTTATGTTGACTTGAATTTTCAAATTGGGGAACAAGAACCTAGTAATACATTTGGTGCCAAAAGAGCAGGGGTGGGCAATTCTGGCCCTTAAGTTCTACTCTTAAAACTTGCTGAGCTGGAAAAAAAGAGACGGCTTTTAGGGGAAAATGCCTTGCATGTAATCCTCTGACAGCAGGGGTGGACAACTCTGGCCCTCAAGGTCCACTTTCCAGCAGAGTTTAGCTGCAACCCTAATCAAACCCAAAAAATCTAAACCAAAGTCTTCAGGATTACTTGGAGAATTTCAGGTGGGTATGTTTAGGGTTGGAGCTAAATTCTGCAGGACAGAGCATTTGTCCACTTTTAGATGATTTTGTATCAGACATTTTTTGCCTTTCCCAGCTCAGCAAGTACAATACTTATTTACTTGTGCAATAGCTCAAGGTAATCCTTGTAAACATCCTTTTAACAAACTCTTTGTCTTTCCGTCTGCAGAACATGACGTACGATCTACACAACTCGTCGTACGACTTCTACAACGGCACGCCGTGGTTTGTCTACGACTGCACCATCCACCTAGATCCGGATGGCCGACGGATCACTCTTTTCCTCCTTTACCTAGTGCTCTTCATGGTAGGGTTGGCCGAAAACACCCTGGTGGTGTGGGTGAACTGGCGAAGGCGTCATTCAGCGAACGGCGTGCTGTTCTGCATCATCAACGTGAGCTTGTCCGACTTGATGGTGATCTTCACCATGCCCTTCTTCATGCTGGAGGTGACCTTGGACAAGGTTTGGCTGTGGGGCCGCTTCCTTTGCAAGGTCACACACCTTGTATATGTCATAAACTTCTACAGTAGCTCCTTCTTCCTGGCCTTCATGACCTTGGAGCGATACCTGTCCCTGACGCGGCCCAACAAGCCCGCCTGCTTTCCGACGCAGCACAAACGCCGCTGGTTTCTCTGCGCTGGGATCTGGCTCCTGTCGATGGTGCTGGCCTTGCTAGAAAACGTCCACGTCGACTTGTTGGAGTGGGACGAACCAGGCTGCTACTTGGTTCCTGAGCAGTACTACACGGAGTGGTTCGTGTCGGTTTCCTTCCTCTGCCTGATATTCCAGTTCCTGGGTCCGGCGTCTGTCATCATCACCTGCAACGTCCTGATCGCCCGAGCCATCCGCACAGTCCCGGATATCCAGAATCGCCGGGACGTGTGGTTGGTGCACATGTACTCACTGGTCTTTGTGGCCTGCTGGCTACCGTACCATTTGGTGTTGTTCTTGTTGACAGTGGACGACCTGGACCCGCACCTGTTCTCCTGCAACATGGTCGGGGTGCTGTACTTCTCTTTTAGCCTTGTGCAATGCTTGTCGCTCTTTCACTGCATTGCCAACCCAATCCTCTACAACTTCCTCAGTAAGAGCTTCCGCAACAATCTAATAAATGCAGTGATCAGCCGCATCTCTTTACCGCCGACCAGTGCGCCAACTAACGCTGTAGCCGACAACGCAGGGACAACGGCGGTAAAAGAGCGGAAGCTCAGTAACGCCAGCACGAGTCACTCCGACATTGGCGCGTGAAGAGGGAAACTCCTAAATGACGATTTGGTGAAACACAGCACATGAATGTGCTACGAAAGAAATGGCCTTGTTGAGGCCATTGTTTTTGGTCAGTTGCCTGGTAACTAGCCATATTTTCTCCTGTTTTTCTCACCTCAGTATTGCTAACAGTGCAAGGAAGGAAATATTGTCAACCTTTCGTAACCTTTATTTCCACCGGTTCCTATTGTTATATCTAGGAACTCCTTGACAAGTAATAAAAGCTCTGTCCACATGCCAGTATTTGTACAAAGACTGTTTTGATTGTTCTGCTCAACAAAAACTTTCACTTAGCTGCCCATATGCGCAATCACAACACCTAGAGCTGTTTTATTGGCCTTTGAGCTCAGCAACTTACGTGTACATATTGTGGATGTGATGTCATGGGAAAAAAATTTAATACAATTTTTTTTAAACATGTTTGAGTGAAAGTGGCAAATCGTGTAGGCTAATACCAATTATTGTTGGCATGTGCTGCTCCAATGACAAAAAAATAAATAAATCCACTGTAGAAATGTATGTTGGATATAAATACACTGTATTTAACATTGATAAGTAGTGGTGCTGTTAAAATTATGTGAATATGGCCAAAATTTAACTGCTAAAAAGACAAGACTCTGGGAAGTTTCGTAAGTACTGATTTTATTCAGAACACAAGTACAGCTGTAGTAAAAGAGAATTAATTTCTGATAGTGACACTGAACATGAACAAATCATAAATAACACTGAAGTAATATAAGGCAATTGTTTCATGTTGAAAATAAAATGTAGTATCAAGTCAAGATATTTACAGTTTTATGATCACAACATCAGCTGCAAACCGTGGCAAAGCACTGGTAATGTGCATTTTTTCCTAAAAATAAAACTGATTGACTGATAAAAGTGTTAAAACCAGGCATTTTATAAGGTTCAGCCGGTATTTTCTGTGCTACATTACAAATAAAGCTATACCAAACACAATGTCCCAGCAGTTTTGAATACATACGTTGTGGTTTGACCAATGACATCAATTATGAATGCACCGGTGTGCTAAATCCATTTTGAATTGAACAAGAAATTATTTAAATGTACAATGTAAAATTGTCCAATGTAAGAAAGAAAAAGCATATAACTGCTGCGAAAATGGTACAGAAGAGCATCACAGCTTTCTAAAGAGAATTGTTATTTATTCATGACACAAAACCATTTGCACAAAACACTGATATGTCCCGAGTGAAGAAAGTGAACACTGCAATATGAACTGACTGATGTATTAGCACCTCAGTCTGAATCGCTTCTCTTTTCCGAATGAAATTAATTATGTAAGAAGAGTTTTGCTTTATGTATAACATCCAAACTATATGATACTACATCTCATAAACGAGTAACTATTTCTAATTTAGTCTGTCAATGATATACAACACTACTATAAAAATAACGGCTATTCTATAAAAGAAAAGTACCGTTATATATTTATTTATTAAAAAAAAAAAAGGACCATTTTATTTATATCCTTGACCTAGACTAGAGCACTGCTTTATTTATCAGAAAACATAGGAAAAAAGTCTTGGTTTATTCTCAGCGTGCACTTGCATTGGAATATCCAGAGACCTTTAGCTTATTGTGATAAGAGTTGCCAGAAGAGTATACAGAGGTAATCGCAGATCAGCACTTGGAAAAGCATCCCATTAAAAATGACTTAATTAAAAGACTACAAATCAAAAGTTTGGACACACTTGACTGAATTTGTTTGCGGTGATCTTTAAAAATCCTCTGATCTAACTGCTTATACTTAAATGGTTGACATTGGCTTTGAAGACAAAAATAACTTGTCTGTGCAAGAATTTCTTTACAAAACTAAATTTGTGTTTGGACCAGTGACTGAAAAGGAGCCAAAAAGTGCTCAGCACACATGTAAACTTCTTTAATAGTGTTCAAACACTGTCTCATAATGTTCTTGGCAAAGGTTTGAAAAAACTACATTATAAGATGTTTATTTTTTGTTATTTCATAGCTTTGATTACTTTATTATTATTCTAAAATGTAAAAAAAGTAATAGAAATAAGTAGGTATGGCCAAACATTTGATTGGCAATGCAGCATTGCTCAGTCTCTCTTGCCATCAAGTGGTCAAGTATCAGCACTACATTTTTAAAATAAAGTTTTACCTTTAATTTAGTCTTTACAAAACAAGAATCGTTCTCATTCTGTACACGAACGACACAAAGACAATCACGTTAAACACTTAATTAAATTCTAAGTCTACTGTCATTTGTCCTCAACATACTAAGTAAACGTGGGCACACAGTGTGACGGAGCGTTCAGAGAGGGCGAGTTTCAGGTGTCCATGTTAGGGACGGGCTCTTTAGAGTGGTCGTTATACATAAAGGTCTCCTCGATGTTGAAATCGGGTGGCAGCTGGTCTTTGTGGAGCTCCATGTGCGAGGAAACCATCTTAAGCGTGGAGAAAAACAGGCCGCAGACGGTGCAGCGGTACATGAGGGCACCCGAGTGCGTCTTTAGGTGGCAGATCATGGTGGAACGGCCACGGAAGAAGCGCAGGCATACTTTGCACTGGTAGGGCTTCTCGCCCGTGTGGATGCGAAGGTGGTATGTGAACTCGCCTGAGTGCGCGAAATGCTTACCACAATACCGGCAGCGATACAGTTTTTCCCTAAGCCCTGTTCCGCCACCGGAGTTGCCGTTCAGTACGAGTCCGGCAGGAAACGGGGCACCGCCGTGAGCCATTTTGTCTTGCAGGTTGAAGCCTAGGCTTAAGTTGTAACCTGCTTTACCCGAGCCGCTCGCCTCCATAGGCGAGGAGGAGGATGAGGAGTATTCGAGGATCTGGTCTGCCTTGCGTTTGGCCGGCCATACCTGGCTGCCCTGGAGCTCGTTCGAATGCACGCTGAGATGGTAATGAAACGCGGTTTCCGAGCGGAAGGTCTGCGGACACAGGAAGCAGCGTAGCTCGGCCTGGCCTTCTCCACTGGTCTCCGGGCTGCCGTCGGCCCGTTTCACCGACGCTCCTTCCTCTGTGTGTAGAGACAGGTGTCTTTCCAGCAGCGCGCTCTCCAGGAAGGGGCTGGCGCATTGTGGACAAGTGTAAATAGGAAAGAGGTGTGTCAGTGTGTGCCACAGGAGGGCGCATCGAGAGGGCTGAGACAGCTGGCACACTCCACAGCGTAATGTACTCAAGCATGCGTGGCTCTGAACGTGGTCCCTGACAGCCTGAGGAAAAAAGAATCCATTATTAATATAACCAAATCAATAAAATTAATTGAAATAAATTGTTAATACTAAAGTAAAAAATGACAATGGAATTTGGAATATTTCATCTTTCTACAGCATTTAGTAGTGTTGTCAACATAAATACTAAACAATAATAAATACTATAATATTAACAATATTACAATATCTCAAGATAATCTTACAAAAATTTGAGATTTGTCTAAGGGAATTTCACTGAAGTCATTTTCTTCCTTTACCAAGCAAGTTAGCAGCATGTTACCAATTGAATACTGTTTTTTATGTTATATTGAAATAAATAAAATATTTAAAATTGTTTTTGAATATTTATTGTATTATTTGATACAGCAGTTTTTATTTGTTCTATTACTTAGAAATAGTTTGTTTTTTTAATACTGTTTACTTGAGTAAATACTTGAAACTGTAATTAATGCAGAATGTTAGATTTTTTGCATATTATTTTAATACTGAATCATATTAACTATATTTCTATATTTAAAATTTATGACACACACACACACTACTATATAGTATGTATACATTTTTTTTATTTAGTTTTTATTTTTATATTTTCAATTTTCATCTATTTTCAGTTTTTAGTTTAGGTTTTAGTAATTTTATGTGCTTTTGTCATTTTTATTTATTTCTTTTATTTAGCTTTAATTTATTCACTTTAGTTATCAGTTTTAGCTATATAGTAATTTTAGTACTTCAACATATATTATTTCAGTAAGTTGCCAAGTTTTAAAATTCTCCTATACTTACATATTCATATATTTCAACTTCAGCTTATTTTTTTCCAATAATCCTCCTGACTACCAAGAAAAAACAGTTTTGTGAATTTAGTATTTTGTAATGTCATTACATTGTTTAGAGCATAAGAACAATTTTGAAAAATTACATTTTATTCATATGTTATGCCATGTCCTCTGTATTGAAAAGTAAAATTGAAAAGGCAAAAATAGTGGGATTTTTGTTTTAACCAGAAATCAATTTTCATTTTTTTATACCAAACTTTATATAAAGATGATTCTCAACTATGTTATGAAAGATATTTAAAAAAAAAATCATTTTTCTTTATACACAATGTGTGTAAAATGGCCATAAACGAGTTTTTCCATTATATACAATGTATCTATAAACTGTATCTAATTTGCATATTAATGTGTTTTTGGGGCAACATAGAATGAATAAATAAGTGCAATAATGGGAGTAATAATTAGCAAACTTTTCATAATAATATTTAATAGGAATATTGATATATAATTTTTTCTCTATTCATTTGTTGTGTCTCCCAAAATGTGTAATAAACATGCTTTAAGTCCTGGTGTCCTCTACAGTGGATGTATGAAACTGATGTCCCGTTTCATAACAGAAGGTCATATTTTGATTTGAAACCCCATAACATTTTCCTGAGATGTTGATTTATGACAAACAATTTGTCAATTAGTCAGATTTAAATGATAATTGCAAAATATTATCATATTTCCATAAGGGTGTTACACTTGATCACTAAATTTATGTCAGCCATTTTTAAAGACCAAGGAGAGGGAGTGGTCATGGTGAAACATCCAATCATTTGGTATCTCTGAAAAGCCCTGAATGTGCTCTGTACAGGACAGCCTGTAAAACTGTGACATGTAACGTCTCAGAGAAATCACTAAAACATAATGTCCTCTACAGTGGACAAAACTCCATAGCTGGTAGTCAGGAGGCTATGTGGCCAAGTTTTTAAAGTTTTTCATTGAATATTTATATTTTATTTCAGCTTTAATTCAATTAACGATTTCAGCTTTATTTCAATTAATTAGGGTTACAAGGCTTAAAACAAACAAACAAACATGTTCCACTAACCTTAAAATCATTCACCATAGATTTAGCACAGATGGTGCACTGCAGTTCCCCTCCTTGTCGTTGGGAGGCTCCGTTCAGTTGGTCTGGATTTTGAGGGGCGCACTTGGCAGCTGACTGACGCCTGTGGTGAATCAGTGCGGATTCAGTCCGAAACTGATGCTCGCAAACGTCGCAGGAGAAGAGCAAGATGCCCACGTGTGTGAGGGCATGAGCAACAGCAGCAGCGCGGTCTGAGAAGGAGGTGCCACACACCTGACACGAACCCGTTTCCGAGAGGTGCGTCTCAGCGTGAGTTTGTATGACGGAGTTTTCCGCCGGAAGTAGCATCCCGCACGATTTGCATGGCTGCGATGTCGGCAGTTGTCCGAGAGACGCCCCGTTTTCACCATTCTCAATGCACATCAAGTCCTCGTCGTCCTCTTCCTCCACAATGAAGTGCTCTTCCTCGTCGCTCAACTCAATGATGTCCTCTGAAAGTGCTCGCCACTGATCACCACCCTCCGTCTGCTCTTCCTGTAGTCGGTGCCTCTTCCTAGAAAGATCTTCCTCAAAAAAATCGGAATCTTTGATTGGTCCCGCAACGGCCCCCAGCTGCAAACTGTCCAAGGGGTCACTGGAGGATGACGAAGGGGCGCAGGTTTCACCTCCAAGCTGGGCTGAAGAATCAGGGACGGAACATTGTTCCTGAGGCCCAAATGTTGATTTGCTACCATTGACAACAAGCTGGTCCACTGAGTTACTTCCTCCATGCTCTCCTTCATCTTCCCGCTCGGTCTTGAGCTGCAAAGTCAGGCCAGGAAGA